GTAAGGTGCTACGGATCTCTCCGGACCTTTACTGTCCCCTTGACGTGATTTTTTTCCTGCCAGTAAGAAATATCAAAATGCATATTTTATGAAAGTCTATGATGTTGATGAAGCGGTGACATGTGACCCAGAAAAGAGGCAGCCGATTGGACGATAGACACTGGACCCCTGTTCTACGGATATCTCCGGACCTTTACTGTCCCCTTGACCGTCTCGGTTCTTTTGAAGCAGACAGCGATATAGATGAAACGGCACGTTGTAAACACACAGTTTTTTCTAGGAGATTCCGCCTCTGTTTCCATTCCTGGCATAACCGTGGGCGATTTGCCTCAGTGCCAATCCCTTCTGGAAACCAGCCAGCTCGGCACACCTTGGGCGCCCGCCCCCATGATGCCCAATTATTATCCCGTTATCGGCGACATCGGAGAGTCGTATCGGTATTTTTGAGTGAATGCAGTGAAATTCCTCAACACTCTCACTGCTGTCATTTCGGCCCGATTGGATCTCGGAATAACGAACCTCTGGGCTCTGGCCCAACTATAGTCATATCTTCTCTGTCTCAGGATTTCTGTCCGGCTGAGTGACGTATAGCGACTGTCAAAAATACTGGAGGATTTAAATTATATCCACAATACAGGCCTGCAAGGGTTAATATACAATACTGCAGCATCTATCTTTCCAGGGGGCCTAGGCTGGCCCGGTGGGAGGGGGTCCCCTTGATAGATTTTAGCGAATAAAGGATTGGGGTGGTGGGGGCTTCTCCTTTCATAGGGGTCACTGATCAGGCCTTAGGCAGCTGGTTTGCCTATGCCGAGATCCGGCTCCGACTGTGCAAGTCTCAGGCAGTCAAAGATAATGATGTTAAAATGATCTTCACGCTGGTGTAAAACTGCCATGTCTGTCAAAGTGTGTCAGCTTAGCCATTTCAAATCCTCCCCAAAAGTCACCCCAGCATCTGCAGCAGCCATCCACATACACCTGCATACCGTGTTTGGCTAATCAATACCTCATTGACTTATTTAACTAAGTTGATTAATTGATTTAGCTGGTGGTGAAATTTAATGTGTGCATGCACTGGCTGAGGTGCCGCTGGGGAGAAGTTTGGGAACTGAGCAAATATACATAAATAGCCTTAAACATTTTACTTGACTCTGCCTAAGACTTTTTCATAGTATTCTACATTATTGGTGATGAAGGAAGGATCTATACAGTTTTTTATTGCTTTGATTTAGCTTGATTTATCTTCAGTTTACATCGCAAACCGTCTTCCTGCGTATTGGCTGTTACGGTATCTTGTGCGAGGGCTGACGGCCCCTGATTTGCTGTCAGATTGCTTCTCCTGCTGGTAACGCTGCAGGCACGCTCTCGGACAGCCGTGGCCCTCCGCCCGTCTCCTCCACATTGGGGCCTAATCCACACGCTAATGCCCGTGTAATCCGCGGGCTGTCGATTGGCATCCGGGCAGTAGCGTAGGCTCTGTCACCAGCTGAGGGGCGGTGAGGAGAGATGCAGGGCGAGGTCCGCGCTGCCTCTGACAGAGGAAACACGCTGTTTATCCAGGAGATCAGGGCAAAAGACGGCCTCTTTAGAGATAGGTTACCGAGAGTGATGATGATGATACTGATGAAGCTCAATGTGGACATTCCACCTGAGTGTTAATAAAGCTGCTGTAGTCTTATTCAGTTCTTACTTTATTAAAAGCTGTTGTGTAGATGTGTAGTTGTTGTGTAGATGTGTAGTTGTTGTGTAGATGTGTAGTTGTTGTGTAGATGTGTAGTTGTGTACCTCCAACTCCAGGATGCTCACGGGAGTTTTACTTACACAAAAATGTTCTGAGGGTAGAACGAAATAAATGATTGGTTCAGAGAGATAACCAATCAGATTGTAGAGGAGGTGGGTCCAAGCAACTAGAGGAGGCGGGACCAAGACTTCTGCCTCCTCTACTACAATCTGATTGATTATCTCTCAGAACCAAGCCTTTTTCGCTCATTCTTCAGAACATTTTTGTGTAAGTAAAACTGCCACAATCTCCAGTTCTACTTCCCCTTGTAACTGGGCATTCATTGGACGATCAACCCAGGCACACTTATATCCAGTTGAGCTATTTGCCTCATTTGTATGTTGCTGTGGACAAAAGCTTCTGCTTTATATGTAAATGCAAATGTAATGTAATGTGAATGTAAGTGTAACATAAATGGCATTGCAGGTGAGTTCTGGCCAGACCTAACTTGAGTGGGTTCTGACTAACACTAGAGCCCAAATCACGGCAGTTCCCTTGGACACCGGAATGAATCAGAGCAGGCCCGAGCCGTAAAAGAAAAATTGTAAAAATGCTCAAGGTTTAGATGATCCCTTTTCTCTTAACCTATGATTGCATGAAAAGCCACCATAAAGATTTACATAAAGTTATTTGTCAGCCAGCCCGAGCGACGCGATCGAGCGCTCTTGTTTACTTATATCATCTGCCGTGTGATTAATTTCCTTCTCCGGAGGCGCTGATGTCATCATTAAAGCGTGGCGTCTGATTAGCTGCCGCTCACTGGCATGGCTCTGCTTTGGGGGGGGGGGAGCGTGTCGTACCTCAGGGTTTTCAGGCGAACACTGGCAGCTTATTAGCCGTCGCATGTGTGAATCACACCTCAGGTCATTCTGCGACTGCGCCTTGTTGTACTAAAAAGGCTGTTTGGAGCGATACCACAGGTATGCATCCGACGTAGAATTTAGCAGGAAACGGAAGCTTAACGTAGGGAAAGATCCCGGCTGGGATCCCAGTGCATCACTTGGCACACAGGAGGAAATGCAGCGACATCGGTTCAGCTGACGGCATATTTTCCTGGATTGTGGAAGGAGACCAAGCTGCCCTGCAGTTTCCCTGCTCCACATACAGAGAGCAGAGGCGAGATTCGACCCCCCCAACCCTGGATACGTGAGATGATGGTGTCACCCACTGAGCAGTCCTTTAAGCAATCGGTCAAACACGAATCCATTCCCGTCTTTAAGAAATCCGGGTATTGTGGGACGTTAATGCTCTACCTCAGCCTCCTTCCTGGGAGTACAGGGCTGGCCGTTCCCCTCCCGCTCCTCCGCCAGCTGTCTGGACAGGGGGTCACATTCGGCAAAGTCACCCCAGGCTCCGTATCAGGGGCGGCCGATCGATCCGCGGAGCGAAGCACTAATAAAGCAAGTGTACGAGCGCCTGTGCCACTTCTGGGCCGGCGAGGAGAGCGGGGCGGGTCTCACCGGATGCGGGAGCGGCGAGGCAGGGGCACGGAGATCACATTCCATTAGTGCTGCACCACTGAGCTGATCTTTAAGGTGACGGGGAGAATGACATCATCTGCCGCGCATCTGCGCATGCCCGCAGCTCGTCGTTCTGGGTCGTAATTGAACCCCCCCGAGGTGCCCACTGAATCCTCACCCCCCCTCGTCGGTCTCGGGCTGTGCAGCATCTCTCTTATGCCCATTATATCTGCTGCCACACAGAGCTGGAGGGCGACGCTCCACCAGGGGGCATACTTGTGAAGTGGCAGCAAAGGGGAACCTAGCGTGAAGTATTTCGACGCAGCCCATCCCCCCCCCCCACTCCCCCCGCCAAACAGAATGGCCTGATCTGTGAGGACAGCATTTGTGGCTGGACACAGAGGTCACCGGCCATAGCTACCGATGCCAGGCTGTTTAGCGATGTAGCCTTTGACGGGGTCGCCGGGGCGCTAAGCCTGGCTTGATGTAATGAACTTAAGAACCAAAAGAATCCTTGGGGGTCTACCTTTGTGGTCTACCTTTGTGGTCTACCTCAAGGAGAAAACCATAGATAAAAAGCCACATCATGATGATATTACTGCTTTACTATAGATACACTGCATTTTCTAAGGAAATAAAGTATATTCTTCATATTAAGACACAGAGTGATCTCATTATATAGATACAATATATACATATTTTTACCAGTAGGTATATGCAGGGGCATTTCTGGCTATTGAAAAGATCAGGGGCCTAGTGAAGTTTACCTGGGACTTCATTTTTATTTATTAAAAAAATAAAATAAAATCAAATTTAAAAAAAGGACCCGTCTCCCTGTAAACTCGTGTACGGACAGTTCCTTGGTGGTGCGGCGTAATTGTTCCGCTGTCATTTTCATCCATCCAGCCCTCTGACCTGCATGTTTTGTATCGCTTCATTAGTACCTGCTTCTTCCATCCTGGTTTTGGACTTCAGGATGGCATTTGACTTCTTTATATCACCGGCTGAAAACAAACATCCACGTCGTTAATTGCCGCCGTCTCCGTCCGCATCTCCAGGGCTCATTAGACCCCCGCCGGTGTACATTCTGGTGCGTTTCTTTCTTTTGAAGCGTCTTCAAATCGTCGCATTTACTGTGAGATTTTGTAATCTGTATAAGCACAAATTGTGCTTATTGCCGTCGCTGGGTTCTCATGGCACTGTACCTGCCAATCAGAGCCTGCAGAAAGCTGCTTAGTCACATCCCTGCACTTTTTGATGCTGTAACTTATTTACTTCCCTTATTTACTTCCTTATCCTTGTCTGTGCCATGCTCTGCTGTTTTTGTGACCATCACAGACGGCTAAGTGGCAATCTGACCAGAAGGCCTATGGCAAAAGCCACCAGCGGGACACTAAGGTGCATTTCTCTCTCTCCACATTGAGCCAATTATTTTCACGGTTTAGGAAAGCTGTTTGTCTGGTCAAAGGTGTCAGGCAGACCTGCCTGTATGTGAGTGAGTCAGAGAGGAGGCTCTGCTTGTTATTTCCTCCTAACACTCAGCACCAGGTAGAAGTTCCTTTCTGCAGTTTTATTCTCATTTATGCGCCCGACACCTTGAGCACATCTCGATTAGGTGCAGTCATATTTATAGGATCCGTATTCGTTAGGGAGTCATATTAGTAATTAGTTAAAAATGGCGCTGAAGTGCCAAAACAGGAGAGGGATGTGCTCGACGGTCTGTGGAACGCAGCGTGAGTGAAAAAAGCAAGAGAGAGGGAAGTTAGTTTGTAAAATTGAGGAATCTGAGATCGTACCTTGGAGCTCAGGTTCCGCAGCGCCAGGTGTGAGGGTATGAGCTCCAGTATAGCTGCATCTCCACATCAGGAGCTCACAGCTCCAAATGAGCACCATCTGACGTGGTACCTGGACACGTTTTTAGGCAGACAGATTCTGGGTGAAACTTCACACTTACGATCGTTTCCACCTGCCTCACGTTTAGCAGAGAGCTCCCTCCAGTGACCGTGAGGTGCTCTTTAAGTTTGGAAACTGTTTCCAGAAACTTCTCCGACTTTAACGAGAAGCAGCTGGAATGAGATCGTCTTTTAGGGTTCCAGTTGTCTAAGCTGTGCCTGCATACCAATAGACCTCTGGCTTGTAGCATGTCTTCTGTGGACTTTGTGTGTGCCCACCTAATTTCCCTACTATGGAATTTAGTTTGAAATTTCTATTTTTATATTCATTTTACATTTAACGGATTCATGGCAGACAGTCTGGGAAGCCGAGTGGTTTGGTAATGCTCTGGACTGCAATGGCTGCCCGGCGAGCAGGGACCTGGGTTCAGTTCCCAGTTTAGGAACTGAACTTGCAACCGGTCACCTCTGGCCTGCTGAATGCCTCGACCTGAGGGAGATCCCGGCGCTGGTTGAGGTTGGGGTGAGAGCTGACATCCTCCCACCCCCACCTGCACTTCTCAACCCAGATAAAGGTTGGGGTGGTGATCCGGAGACAGGCATCATGGCGTGTGGAGATTGGGGCAGGGTTTGTGGAGGTGGAGCTGTGGGTTTCATCCTCCCTCATAAGCTCTCATCCAGCAGAGACATTGAAGTTTGGGGGGAAAAGCACACAATGTATCTTATTATACCTAATTAATAACAGAGGAAGTTTAACAATAAACCAGGGAGACTGACTAAGAAATATCATGAAGTGCCAGGAAGCTTCAGTTACAGTCATTGTTTAATCATTTCCGGCTGGGATACAGAACAGACCCACACACAGAGATGGGAGGGCTGATGGGCTTTTTCTTTGGGATATGGTGGTTTTTACCATACAGGGAGAGAGGGAGGAAGTCAAAGGACCGCCAGTCTGGCTAATGTGAAAGGGGAACAGGCAGGAAAGGTTTTGGAGGTATCGATGTGGTCACAGAATCTGGGAGTGGTCTGAGCCACCAGGGCCACGATCAAAAGTCCTTTTCATATGGTCAGAAATTGTCTGCAGGTTAATGAAGGGCCTTGATCCCACCCCAAGCCGTCCACACCCTCCAAATGTCCTATGGATGAAGTGCGTGAATCCTTCCTGCGAGTTAACCCTTGCAAGGTTGCTGGACCGGATGGCAGATGGCATCCCCTGAGCTGGCTGGAGTGTTCATCGAAATTTTCAACCACTCCCTCACCCTGTCTGTTGTTCCTACCTGCTTCAAGATGTATAACATTGTCTCTGTACCAAAGACCACAAGGAAAACCTGTCTTAATGACTGGCGCCCCGTTGCCCTGTGACCCCCATCGTCAGCATGGGCTCCAAGAGACAGGTCAGAGACTTCACCTGCTTCCCCCTGCTGGCTACCTTGGACCCGTTACAGTTCGCCTATTTGCCGAACAGATCCGCGGTGAAGCCATAACTCTGTCTCTGCACACCGTCCTCTTCCACCTGGAAAGGAGGGACACGTGTGTAAGAATGCTGCTTGTGACCAGTTTCCTCCAAGCTCAACAGGAAGCTCCAAGCTCTCGGCCCGGAGAACTCACTGTGCAGCTGGATCCTGGACTTCCAGTCAGATCGGTGCCAGGTGGTCAGATTGGGCAATATCACTTCCTCAACACGGGAGCCCCCCAGGGATGTGTACTGAGCCCTCCCCTGTACACCCTGTATACCCACGATTGTGTGGCCACAAACAGCTCCAACGTCATCGTAAAATTTGCAGGTGACATGATGGTGGTGGATCTCATCTCCAACAGCGACAAGCCTGGTTACAGAGAGGATGGTGCCAGCAAAATTACCTCACAATCAACTTGTCAAGAGCTGATATCAGGAGCTGATAGTGGACTTCATGAAGCAGGGAGGAGTATACACCCCCATCTCCATCAACAGGACCACTGTGGAGAGGGTCAGCAGCTTTAAGATCCTTAGTGGATCTTAGAGGACCTCACATTGAAAGTGCACATCACTGAGGCAGTGAAGAAGGCACAGCAATGCTTCTATGACCTCAGGAGGCTGAAAAGGTTTGGCCTGAGCCCCCGCATCCTCAGGACGTTCTACACATGCACTATTGAGAGACTCATAACTGGATGCTTCACTGCCTGGTATGGATGCTGCACTGTTCTAGCTCCTCTAGCAACCGCTCATTCGACACCAGTGAATGTCAAACCAGTGGTACCCAAGGATTCTCTGAAGAGACACAATACTGAAGGAGTCCAGTCTTCATCTCAGCTCACTGGATAGCATCCATTTCTCACAGCCATACCGCAAGACAGTAGGAGCACCAGGACTCTAAAGACTTGGACCTTCGTCCTCTTGCAAAGATATCGGGAGCGCTACACACCCCTTTCCGGTGACCTCATGACCCCCCATGCTCTTCAAATCCGTCTGCTGACTTCATAGGAAGAGTCACCAGAGACATGAATGTCGCTGCCGAGGTAAATAAGTCTCTCGACAAGGTCGACATTCTCCCCGCAGACAGACACACTACTGATGGCTGTGCCCAAGAAGTCATTAAATGCCTGGATCTTGGTCTTTATCCAGGACACCCGCAATCCCAGACACTCAGACTTCTCGCTCAGTCTCTCGAGAGCCCCAATCAGAGCCTCCACTGACTCCACTAAGATCACGGCATCGTCAGCAAAGTCAAGATCAGTAAATCCTTCTTCACCAAGCTGCCCAACGCATGAGCCCCACAGCCACTGTACCCCACGTCCCTGCCAAACACCCAGTCCATACAAGCACTGAACAGAGTAGGAGCAAGAACACATCCCTGGTGAACCCCAGAATCTACTGGGAAGAACCCAGAGGTTCTCCCTCCACTCTGCACAGCACTCACAGTACCAGTGTGCAGGCTGGCCATGACATCCAGTAACTTCGGGGGGATCCCTCGAAGTCTCAGAATGTCCCACAAGGCAACTCGAACAACTGATTTGAGCGCTTTACGTAAATCGACAAAGGCTGCAAAGAACCTCTGCCAATATTCACACTTGTGCTTGATGTGAACCCTCAGTGCAAAGATACGGTCGACGACTTCTTAGGTATAAAACCGGACTACTCCGGTCGCTGACAGGCAAGCAAGTGATCACAGATCCTGTTAAGGATGACCCTAGCAAGGACCTTACCCGGCACTATAAGCAGTGTTATTCCCCTGTAGTTGCCGCAATCTAGGCGATCACCCTTCCCTTTCCAGATAGGGACCACAAGTCCCATTTTCCAGTCAGTTGGGATGACGCCTGACTCCCAAATGGAAGCAAAGATTGGCTGCAATGCCAGGAGGACAGCCTTACCACCAGCCTGGAGAAGTTCACCCTGGATACCACAGATCCCTGCGGCCTTCCCTACCCCCAGCTGATTCACCACCTCATTTCAGTGAGACTGAGTGGTTCACAGCTGATCCTCCAATCAGCTTTGAGAACCGTAGTACCCAAAGATGTCCAACATCCCTTAAACAACTGCTCAAAGTAGCCGGCCCAGCAGGTCACAACTGCAATGTCATCCGTAAGGACCGTCCCGGAGGAAACCCACTAAAATCATCAAAGACCCCAGTCAACCCAGCCACACTCTGCTCACCCTACTACCGTCAAGCACATGCTACTGCATCATCAAGAGCCCGACCAGCAGACTCCGGAACAGTTTCTTCCACCAGGTCACCAGGATGCTGAACTCCAAATGATATCAGCCATCCCCAGGTCACCACCCCCACTCCCCTCTGCACTAGTGAATGCCTCTGGTTCACTAAACTGTAGTGCAGAATTACACCTACAGTCTGTCTGCCCCATGGCATACTGTATGCATACCATATTTATGCTGTGTTGCATGTGTGCGTTGTAGTGTGTATACTGTTGCATTTATGCATATGTCGAGTTGTATATTGTTGTACAGTTGTTGTGTGTAGTCTTTATGTACAGTACAGTTGCACAGATGTTTTTTGTACAGTATGCATTTATTAATGTACTGTACTGCAAATAGGAATTTGTGACCGAAGACTTTCAGTCACTAGTTCAGCCATTCTAGTGATGTGACAATAAAAGTGATTTTATTGTAACAGGTGATTGTTTCACTATTTTGCTGTAAAAAACATATTTTTAAAGTAAATATTACTTCCCACACGTTTATGAAGCAGATGAAATGCTGATGACAAGTACTATTTTATTGCTGGAGTATTATTTCAGAGTATTTAATGTCCAGCTCTCTTTGGTTACTTTTAATTTAATTGTGCTTTTGCGTCTCCCCCTGAGAGAGACTCAGAAATTTGTAGCACAGGGTGGATGCCCCCCTCCCCTCCCCTGGCCAGAACAGCTGGACCTTTCCTGTCATTGGCTCAGTAAATGAAGCCCCATGTGACAGGGACAGGAACCATAAGGGTCTATAAAATGTTTCAGAGAAACTCTGAGCCGCCACTTACCCGTACTTCTCACACAAGTTCTTGGAGTGTGTTCATAATGACTCAAGTATAATAGATGGAGCAGGCTGATTTTTCTGAACATTTCATCTTTCCACACTGAGAAAGAGGTGAAGGTGATAATGCGTCAGTGATGTAGAAGGTTTTCTTTTGCATCTATTAGTGAAGCTGCTTGGTTTTCATTTCATTTTTTTATTTTTTTTTTTTACAGTTTAACGCTGAATTTCCCTCTAATTCGTATCCTTCTTTCGCACGAAAAGAGATGGTTTCAGGTGGAACCTGCATGAAACGCTGCTTGAATTATCTCTGAATAACACCCATGCTCTGCATGGGATTGGCTGAGGACAGTGCTGCCATTTAGCTCTGGGACTTTAGAAGGAATCTTTTTTACGGAAAATATATAGAAAACAGCATATAATGACTTTTAAAACCTGAAATATACCCTGGGCTAGCAGAGTAATTCTAAAACTGAGTTTATATAAAAACATACAGACACACGTGCACACAGCACAGATGCACGAACATATCATCGCCACCTCAGTTTGATATATAGAGCGTATTTGCATTATTACACGTAATTTTTACATATAAATCCCGCAGGCGGTGTTACGTGTAGTCTTTAGTTATTTCAGACAGTATTTTATGCAGTTTTATATGTAATTCCCACAGGCGATACTACATGTAGGGAGTATTACGTGTAGTTTTTACATGTTCCTGTTACAGGCAGCATCACATGTACTGTAGTTTAAACACGTAGTTCTCATAGGCAGTATTACCATAAGCGGAGTTTGGTGTTAGCGTTTGGGGGGGGGGACCTGCATATTGCTTACCTTATGTGTTAACGCACGTAACTTAATATTTTGTCTACGTATAGCGTACCAACAAACTGCTTATGCAAAGGTGCAGAGCGCCAGCGCCAGTGTAATGCTGGTTTTGCAAAATTATTGCAATTTCGCTTCAGGCGACTGGGGGGGCGGCAGTGCCCCAAACTCTGCCCATGAGTGTTACTGTTACATGCAGTTTTGCAGTCACAGTTTTTCGGTTAGAGTGACAGCTGGCAAGAGCCCGTGGTTAGCTCCACGTCGAGGTCGCTGTCCGTGCCCCTCGCGCCGTAACCATCACACTCCAAACCCTTCTCCAGCTGAATGGGATCCCATCAAGTTCAGCGTCCGGCTCACGGTCCTTCTTCACTCCAATTGACTTTCAGAAAAGATGGGCGGGGTTTCGGCTTTCAAGCTGCTGCTGACGGAAACAGCGCGCGCAGAGGACGAGGACAGTTTGAGTAAGTTCCTGTCCCGCCATTTCACACCGCGCCGAGGTAGCGAAGTGGCGCGCGACACCTTTCACGAGCCTTCTAAATTTTTTAATCTTATTAAAAACTGAGCTCGACGAAGTTCATTCGTGTGGAAAGTGTCCCCTGGCACTGTATTTGTATTGTATGTAATGTAATTACTGTTGCTTAAAGAAATTCCTTTTTTATTCAGTTTCAATTAAACCCAGTAAAAGCCCGTCACGGAGGCTGTGTAATTACTTTCACAAGCTGGTGAGGTTCACGGTCGACGTGCTTCATGTCGCTAATTTAATAGCGATTTTTAAAATCACGTGTGCTGTGTTTGTGTAGCTTTATGCGTCGTTTCGGAAGCAAACTCTTAAGGAAATGTTGTAGTTTGCCTTAAGGGCATAGAAAAATGTCTTCTCTGTGATAAAAAAAATATTTGTATTCTTGTTAAATTATCTACCTTTTTAGGTAATCCTTAATGTGTTACGTGTTGGATTTTCAGACATCCAACCTTAGGCATATTGATTTCAGAAAGGCGGATGAGGGACAACCGGGAGGCGGGGTGCTGGCTAGTCTCGGATGGTATTAGGGTAATAACGTTCAGGAATACCCCCTGGGTGACTGCCCCTTTCGAAAATACCCCAACCCCGTCCCCTGGCAAATTTTATCTGGAAGTACCAGAATAGCTTTGATTTTTAAAATACCGTCAAAATATCGTATATCAGAGTATGAGGTCTGGACGGCATGACAGTATTTAAAAAAAAAAAAACATGCTGCACAAGCCTTAATGCTGGCTGGGGGTGTTTCGATAAAATATGCCGGCAGGGGGGAGAGGGTACTGATGTCAAGATCTGCCGACCGGGGCTAGGGGGTGGAGGTAAAATTTGACGACCGGATGGGGTTGGGATGTGACAATAAAGTTTATTGTCGGCTAACATTACTGCTAACAGCTAGAGTTCTGGGACACTGAGCATCACTCTTGGGTGTCGGGGAGCTGCTGTCAATTTGCAGGAGACTCCTACTGCTTCCGAGAGAGGTGGGATGTCTCCATGATCCCATTTACTGACTTAGCACTTAGACGATGGATGGATGGATAGATAGATAATTGGACTGAAGAATTAGTAGTACATTGATACTAGTTAAGTGCATTTCTATAGGTAACAGTCATTGTAGGGCCTCCCAAAACCTGCAACATTTTGCATTCATTTTTAAATACTAAATTAGCTTTTTACATCTGTGTGCCCTTCGTATAGTCCTGGAAGAAATAGAAATGCTGAACTCCTCGCATCTGAATTGTGTTCGTCAAAGCTATGACCTCGTCACCGACCGAAAGTAAACAGTGCAGATTACAAACCAAGGACAGTACAGATGAGGCTGACCTCGGGATCTCTGCTCTGCCATTAATGGAATGGATACTTCACCTTTCCATCTATCCTTCATAAGTGCTTATTTAGTACAAGGTCATGGTCGAGCCTGGAGCTTGTCCCAGGTGCAAGGTATGAGGCAAGGGACACCCTGGACAAGATGCCAGTACATCACTGGACACACTTTCACAGACTTATGCACATAATCTTGGGCAATTTTAGACACTGAAGTCACCAAATTGTGTGATTATTATAATCCTGTTTTTTTCCTGTTAATCCTAATAGGTACCAGCAGTGGGGAGGTGAAGGAGAACCGGGACACTGGAAACCTGGATGAGTGCCCCATTGGCCCAAGGTGCTGCCAGTCATTCTTCAGCCCTGACACTACCAGAGGCGGGACTTCCGGTTTGAAAAGGAAACAGCCTCTTGAGGAAGGAAATGGCCGGCGCCTGCGAAAGCCCGAGCCGGTCCGCAGGAAGCAGTCATGGTCCGTCTTGCCGAAGAATGCCTTGGTGCATCTGAATGAGCTCCGACCGGGCTTACAGTACCAGATGCTGGCCCAGACAGGTCCCCGGCATGCTCCTGTGTTCTCCGTCACCGTGGAGGTGAATGGGCTGGCATTCAAGGGCACTGGGGCCACGAAGAAGGCAGCCAAAATGCGGGCAGCTGAGCTGGCCCTCGGGTCGTTCATCCAGTTCCCCAATGCCTCCCAGGCCCACCTGACGATGGCCGGTGCGGAGCAGTCCCCGGTGGACTTCACCTCAGACCGGGCTGCAGACTACTTGGGCATCCTGTTCAAGGAGTTTGAGCCATCAGCTCACAGTGACAGGGCCCCCGAGCTCCGGAACCGGCAGGCAGCACCGCAGACGGGCTACAAGAGCCCAGTGGCACTGCTGAATGAGCTGCGGCCAGGCCTGCGGTACCTGTGCCTCGCGGGTGGTGCCGAGGCTGGCCGGGTCCACCGCCGCTTTGTCATGGCGCTCAGGGTGGACGGTAGAACGTTTGAGGGCTCGGGCCGCAGCAAGAGGCTGGCAAAGAGCCGGGCGGCCCTGTCAGCCCTTCGGAGCGTCTTTGGCTTGGGGCTGCCACCCAGCTGGGGGGGCATCGGGGAGCCTGGCAGGAAGCACCCCCACTTACCCCAGGTGAGCCCAGGAAACAGGCTGGACTACGGAGTTCAGAGGCAGGGCCAAATTAACGAGGACTCTCCTCCCAGAATCCTACTCTCAGTGCTGCCTTAGGGCTGGTTTCTACCTATTGCGTTCTTGGGCACTCATACCTCCTCTGCCACTGCACCTGGCCACTGCACCTGGCCACTGCATACTTTGACTCTGGGCTGCGGTAGCATTGTAGAGCAAAGGTGCTCTTTTTTTTAACTTTTTTTTTTAATTATTATGCAACCTAACACAGAAACAGGGTAAGTCATAGCAGTGGGAGACAGTGAAGGGGGAGGCAAAAATAGGGAGAGAAAAACATTCACACAATTAACCACAGTAAGAGGATTACTAAACATAAAATATAATAAAATCTAATGTATTTACCATATGCACACCTATATGCAAAGGTAAGGGTCATGTCATAAAGCAAGTGATTGTGAGTAAAATCAACAATGAGTCAATAAACAAACAAATAAGGACATAATAATAATCATAATAATGATATGTTTGTGAACTAATGTGTGAGCAAAGGTGCTCTTAAGTCACATTTATGAAGAATGGTATAGATGTTATATTAAAAACAGATATTTTACTAAAATTAACTGTGAATTATGTAGTTACATTTCTACATCCTTACAAATGTATGTGGCATTTCTATTACCAAAAGATGTATTTCATTTTAGTTTGTAGCCATCTGGGTGTCTTTTTATTCCCTGAGGAGGGAGAGAGGAACCATATTAATACCAGTATTTGCAGACTTCCTCGGCCATCCTCTCTTTGAATCTGCGAGCCATGTTTGCTGTCAGCCTGAGCAGAGAGGGTAGGAAAGGTGTTTGTCGTTCATGGTTTTGGTTTATTCACGCGTTGGCCCTGAACAAAATGGGAATATTTCTGGAGCTTGCCAAAAGAAACTCACCGAAACTTGCGCAAGACACATAAGCCAAAGCTGAAAATGATTTGGATCACATAAAATACTCTTTCTTTACAAGGGAGAAACAAAAAGTATAGGCAAGTTACCCTTTAATGTCGGTAACTATGAGCAAATGAGCATAACAGTTATTCTCTACATAGTCTTCCTGCAGATCAGTGCACTTCTTGTATCATTCCACTAACTTTTTTCATCTGCACCCGAATCCTGGTGTGCACTGCTTCTTTAACCTCATCATCAGAGGTGGACCTGTGGCCACGTAGAGCTTTTTTTTAAATGGACCAAACATGTGATAGTCGCATGGTGCTAGATCAAGGTTGTCAGGGTGATGTGGAGGATGTTCCAACCACAGCTGTTGCATTACCTCCACCGTTGCGTGAAAAGAGGCTCCACGCGGTTGCCGGTACTTCTCTGAAGATGAGGTTACGAAAGTGGACCTGGATTCTGGAGCAGCTGAAAAGCTTCTCCTCCCAAGGAATGAAGAAGTTGGTGGACGATGCAAGAAGCGCATCGACCTGCAGGGAACCTATGTGAAGAAGTGATGTAACTCATGTTTATTTGCTCACAGGTACCGGTATTGAAGACTAAGTTGCCTTTAATTTTTGATTCTCCTTCAGATTAAAAGTTATTCTTGGCAAATCAAAATGCGAATCTTTGTCACTGCAACCAGCCTCACTCACGTTATCTGTCTCTGACCACATTTCTCACAGTAACTTTTAAACCTTTCTTTTCCGTTAATGAATTCAAGCATTATTTACGAATTTTCACATTTGTGCGGATCATCTGTCCCTAACCCTTGTGAATATGAAGGCATGACTCTACAGTCTTTGGTCCAACCTCTTCTCTGATTTCCTGCTAGAGTTTTTTTCTTTAATGAACGATTGAGGTGTTCCACAGAATGGACTGTCCATGTTGTTTCGATTTCTGAGCAGCTGGCTCTCAGACATGGTTTTTGCACCTGACTTCTGTGACAATTGCGTCGCAACAGCTGTATATGCTGTGGTGTGTCCACATCCACAGTAGGTTTAAACTAGCCTTAAGGAAGTTTCGGGCATTGCTGGAGGGGTGGGGGGAGCAGCTAGTCAAACTGTTTAACCCCTCCTGAGACCAGTGACCAGTTAGTCACAAACCCAGTTAGCCCCAACCCCAGTGATCCCTATTTTAGGGTACAAGGATGAATAACAATGTCAGTCTGCTGTTTTGTTATTATAAATGCTGCAGTGTGTAGACTTCATGTGATGTCTCAGAGATGAACGTGATATGTAAAAATTTAAGAAAAGCCTATCATTTTTGGGAAAGTGTTTTATTAATAGAAAAAATTACCGTTCCATTGCACTAACCAAGAAAGAGAAGCCCTCAGATCAGATATATGTCGGCATGTTTATGAAGGAGCGCCACAGTTTGGCTGTGCTAAAGCGTCTCCCTCCTTGTGTGACTCCGCAGTCTATTAACATTCATTCACAGGAGGAGCACACGGCCGACAGCCCTGCAAACTAATGCCACCCTCCACTGAGAAGCATGCAGGGAAATAAACTAGCTCCCAACATTCAGAAATGACTCTCAAACTTCTCTGCGTTTCTTGGGAACTTCAGCAAGCCTTCATCTAAACTCCTAACTTTATGGCTAGCAAGCCAACATCAGGCTTTTGGTGTAATATATCAAATAACCAAGTTAATTGTTATAACTGTAAATGCAGCAATGGGTCTTTAGCACCACTCAAACCACGCATTTGCGTAGGGCCTCCTGTTGGCCACGGACAGCTACTACGCCACCCGAAAATTTAATAAATGCAATCCTCATGTAGGAGATTCCGAAGCAGCAGACTCACTAGCTATTTATTTAGTTTTTGAAACATCTGGGAGGAGTGGGGTGCAATTATGATTGGGGCCCCATAAAAATCAAATGTGCCCCTGAGTAAATGTAGACTTTTAAACAGAAAAGTTTCCCGGTCATTCTTATGTACGCCCTAAGACAGGGCTATTGAAATCGCAGTCCTTAAGGGCTGAGCACTGGAAATAATTACCAGATATATGTAATAATTACCAGATATAGCTTTCATTCACCTGTGAGCCAGGTGTGAAGCCTTTGTGCCGAATCAGAATCAGTAATTATTAAACTAACTAGCTGGGAGATCTGAAAACAAGGCCAAGATTTGGTATCGAGGACCAGATTTGAGGGGCCCTGCCCTAAGTGATACTAGATTGCATGAAAAATATCTGCGTTACTGGTTTTTGTGACGGGAACCCAAAGATCTTGCCCTTTTTCACTCGCAAATCTTCCATTTACTAGTCATTTTAAGACTTGTTGCCTTCTCTAGTTTGCCCAGGGGTTGCTCTGAAAAGAATTTCAAAAGCCAAACACAACAACAGCTGCTTCCTGGGGGCTGAGCCCCGAAAGGGGTTGTTGGGGGGCATGGGGGACTTGTCCTCCATTTCCGATTGTCTTTTTCATGTTCTCCAGACCTTCAAACTCAAAGACAGTAAAACAGTAAGATACCATGAAATAACAGAAAGAAACAAATCAATTTCAGACAAGAGGGATTGTACCTGTATTGTGAAATAGGAGATCCAGTCTGTGATGGCGTAAAATTGCTAGGTAACTGGCGACGAGGATGTAAAAGATATCCCCTCATATCTGTTCCGTCTGCTGAACAGCTCGGCTCGGCTTTAAGTCACAGCAGAGTTATGCTCAGATTTAAGGCAGACAGGAAGTCAGACCAAAGAGAATTCTGTATTAAAGGTTCATACAGAGACTTACTGCTGCGAGGATGACAGTCTTTGATGGATTTTGATACATTTTAAAACCACTTGTGCCACAATTATTGTATAAAATGATGTGTACATGACATTAAATATACAGGCAGTGACTGAATAAGCTTCATATAGAATGAAGTGTTAAAGAATAAAGTGTTATAAAGGTCTTTGTACTGTAATACAAATGAGTCTTTCTGCAGCATAAGAGCCGTATTATACATTTTGTTCTAAGAAAAGCTGAGACAACAGCCCAGAGCGAATACTGATGAGGACATGGTAAGAGGAGCCAATCAGAGTCCCTCAGGCGACAGGCACACCATCAGAGATCATGCATTGAAATAGAGGCCACATTTAACAATCGTCACATATGAGCAAAGGAGACAAAGAAACAAAGAGAAATTATTTGTATTTATTATTATCACTACACATAGTCCCCAGGTTACAAAGGAGATCTGTTCCCTGTGACGCTTTTAAAGTTAAATTTGTAGGTAAGTCGGAATAATAATAATACAGTAGGACCTACATATCTGTAGTAGTAGTAGTAACAATAATAATATAATAATAATAAGGGTGGCATGTTGGTGCAGTGGGTAGTACTGTTGCCTCACACCTCTGGGGCCAAGTCAACACTATGTCTCCATGTGTGTGGAGTTTGCAGATTCTCCCCATGTCGCCGTGGGGTTTCCTCCAGGGGCCGGTTTACCCCACATAGTCCAAAAACATGCTGAGGTTAATCGCAGTTACCAGATTGCCCATAGGTGTGCATGTGGTTTTTGGTGGGGGTATCCCATAGTGGAAAAAATAACAAATAAATTATAAGGTGAGTAATGCAGTGCAGGTGGTTTAAATAAGGTAGGACTATGTCTTGTAAACATGAAAGCTGTGTGATTTATTGGGGGTGGAACAGCAGAATTATGAGTCAAAGACAGTGGGAGGAAGTGAAGTGTGCCAAGGCTGGCCTCCCATTTAGCTGGGTGAAAGTGCAGAATTCTAGCTCTTGTCATAGTAGCAGTAGCATTTAACATTAGTCTCTGTCTTTGTTTATTATCTTATGGTGGATTAGCGTTGCGATAACCTGAAGCAGCTTGCGTAGCTAGTTTTTCTGTCAGTCTTTTATACAGCTAGATTCCCTTACAGCTGATGAGAGCAGCCCAGCAGAGATGAACTGGCATACGGGCAGGTTCTCATCCTCCGTGCTAAGCGGGACACCTTCATTAAAAGGTGTAGTGCAGAGAGAGAGAGTTTTCCACAAAAAAGACATTTTCTTCCAAAAAGATTGCAGTTGAAGTAAGTGAGAGGTTGAAGAC